TTACAGGTGTAGTCAGGTCAAGTGGCCAAATACACTTAAACTCAGTTTTTCACAACTGCTGATATTTAGTCCTATAAACATTCCCTGTCTTAGGCCAGTTAGGATCACTACTTTATTGTAAGAATGTGAAATGTCAGAATAATAGTAGGGAAAAAGATTTCAGCTTTTATTTCTGTCATCACATTTCCAGTGGGTTGGAAGTTTACATGCACTCAGTATTTGGCAGCATTTCTTTTAAATTGATTAAATTGGGTCAAATGTTTCAGGGTACCTTACACAAGCTTCTTACAATAAGTTGTTGGAACTTTTGCCAATTCCCCCAGACAGAACTGGTAGAACTGAGTTAGGTTTGTAGGCCTCCTTGCTCGCACACATGTTTTTAGTTCTGCACACAAATTTTCTATTGGACTGAGGTCAGGGATGATGGCCACTACAATACCTTGACTTTGTTGTCTTTAAGCCATTTTGCCACAACTCTGGAAGTCTGCTTGGGGTCATTGTCCATTTGGACAAGACCCATTTGTGACCACGCTTTAGCTTCCTGGCTGATGTCTTGAGATGCTGCTTAAGTATATCCACATAATCTTCCTTCCTTATGATGTCATCTATTTTGTGACGTGTCCCAGTCCCTCCTGCAGCAAAGCACCTCCACAACATGATGCTGCTACCCCTGTGCTTCACAGTTGAGATGGTGTTCTTTGGCTTGCAAGCCTCCCCCTTTTTCCTCCATTACAGTCAAACAGTTAATTTTTGTTTCGTCAGACCAGAGGACATTTCTCCAAAAGGTAAGATCTTTGTCCCTATATGCAGCTGCAAAATGCAGTCTGCTTTTATTTTTATGGCAGTCTTGGAGCAGTGGCTTTTTCCTTCCTGATCAGCCTCTCTGGTTATGTTGATATAGGACTTGTTGTACTGTGGATATAGATTCTTTGGTGCCTGTTTCATCCAGTGTCTTCACAAGGTCCTTTGCTATTGTTCTGGGATTGATTTGTACTATTCGGACCAAAGTATGTTTATCTCTAGGAGACCGAACGTGCCTCCTTCCTGGGCATTATGATGGCGTTGTCCTGTGGTGTTTATATTTGCATAGTATTGTTTGTACAGATGCATGTGGTACCTTCAGGAGAAATTGCTCCCAAAGATGAACCAGACTGGTGAAGGCCCACATTTTTTTCTGAGGTCTTGGCTTTTGGTTTTCCCATGATGTCAAATGAAGAGGTACTGAGTTTGAATATATCCACAGGTGCACCTTCTTTTGACTCCAATGATGTCAGTTAACCTATCAGAAGCTTCTAAAGCCTTGACATCATTTTCTGGAATTTTCCAAGCTGTTTAAAGGCATTTAAAATTCTGACCCACTGGAATTGATATAGTGAATTATAAGTGAAACAATCTATCTGTAAAGAACTGTTGGAAAATTTTACTTGTGTTAGTCTAACTGACTTGCCAAAATGATAATTTGTTAACATGACATCTCATCAGTGGTCAAAAATCAGTTTTAATGACTTCATCCTAAGTGTATGTAAACTTCTGACTGTATTTGTGCTTTGCTGTTAATACTCCAGCAGTGTTATGCGTCTTTCACTGTCTCGTAACATTTGATAGTATGTCAGTATCTCTTTATTTTTGCTTGTTGACTGATCCAAAATGCAATCCTGTAACGGAGAATTTGGAGATTTGTATTTTTGGCAGAGGCTAAGTTAACAGTTATCACAAGGCTAACTGGTAGCTTTAGCAGTGAGCCAACCAAAGCATAGTTTTTAAACACCGGTAACTAGTTACACCTCTCATAACATTTGGTAGGATGTCAGTATTTCTTAATTTTTTTCTGTTGATCCAAAAGTTAATTTAGTAACATTAAAAGAAGACAGAGAGCTTGTGTTATTAGCAGCTGGCTAACGAACACTCAGGCTGTTACCAGAAGCCAACACTATAGCTAAGCTGTTAATAATGGTACATCTCACACCGTCTCAGTGTTGGCTAAATAATTATATAAATAGTGTAAAGAAGCTCCAGGGTCCAGTTTACATCCAAATACTGTGCACTCCTGCATATTTGCTGTTAACAGATAAAACCTTCACTTCCTGTTGGTGATAAGGTGGTTCTGGCTGCTGAGACCAGAGGCTTCAGGTTTCTCCCGAACTCCAGAAAACCCGCGAACCATTTTTGGCTGTCCGAATTTGCGGCATCACAAATCCTGTCTGCTATAGCGTCTTTCACACTCACATTTTTTGGGAGGAAACTGATATCATCCCCTTCAGCAGAGAAATGTGAAAACAGCCTGTTAGTCACAAACTATGCACCTATACTGTATATAACAGTCCGTATAGTGGAGGGATGATATTTTTTTAATGGAGTGGGTCTTTAATCTTTTCCTCCAGATTTATTTTTGCATTCACAATTAGATCAACTCCATCTAATTAACTCCAGCATTTGTTTTCAAAGTAGGATAATTCAACTTCTGGACAGATCAGAAAACAGGGTGGCTTCTTACTAAAATGTAGAAAAAAAAAATATTTTTAGAACACAGGTAAAATTAGTTACAAAGGTTTCTAATATATGCTGCTTTTCAAATTAAGGCTTTGTTCTGTCTGCAGTAAGCAAGCAGCAAATGAAGCTCCATTTCTATTCCTGCCAGGTTGTGTGTCAGTGCTGTGAGGAGGCAGATCCCAGCTCAGCATTGGAGAAGCTGATGAGCAGAGTGAATGAGGGGCAGCTCAGTGAGGGAGCACTTTTCAATCTGCTCCGAAGCATCCAGCAGAAAGCTGCTTCTACCTTCCCTCAATCACTGGTGTCTTTGCTGGAGAAGGTGGAGAAGAGTGCACAGGAGCCAAACAGAGGCCCAGCTGCAGGTACAGAAGAGGACAGTGTGGTTCAGTGTGAGCTGGTATCTTCTCTGTCCATTAAAAGTACACTGTGTAAGATTTAGATGGAGCTGTTAGCAGAAATAGAATATAGTATTCATGAATATGTTTTCATTCAGTGTGTTATCACCTGAGTTTTCTTTAGTTTAGAATGAGCCTTTTATATCTACATAGGGAGTGGGTCCCCTTTCACAGAGGCTGTTATGTTTTTACAGTAGCCCAGAGCAGACGAACCAAACAGGCTCTAAACAGAAAATTTTGCATTTTCACATTGAAGTAACAGCTTTAATTTGGTGATGTTGTAGCACTGCTTGGAAAATGAAGAAGAAAGAGTCGATCACAGAAAAAAGAATACCCCTCTCCAGTGCTTAATTTGTAAATTATGAGGTTCCGGAATATCACTTGGTGATGTGTGTCTGTGGTTTTCCCCAACCTCACCTGCTGCTTCCTGGCTGTCAGAAAGCTGATGATCCACTGACGGGTGGGGGCAGGCACAGTGAGCTGGGTTAGTTTGGAGTGGAGAATATCCAGGATGGTGGTATTAAACACCGAGCTAAAGTCCACAAAAGGACCTGTGCATAGGTCCATGGGGAGTTGAGGTGTTGAAGGATGTAATGGAGTGCCATGTTGACCACATCATCCGCTGACCTGTTTGACCAGTAGGCAAACTGCAGGGAGTCCAGCAGGGGGTCTACGATGTCCTTCAGATGGGCCAACACCAGCCTCTCGAAGGACTTCATGACTACACATGTCAAGGCGACAGGTCTTTAGGCAGTCATTCAGTCCACTGATGGAGGATTTCTTGGGGACTGGGATGATGATGGAACATTTGAAGAAGGAGGGAAGTTCAACCAGTTCCAGTGACCTGTTGCAAATCAGTGTTAAGATGGGGGCTATCTGATCAGCACAAGCTTTCAGGCAGGAGGGGGTCACACCATCTGGGCCTGGTGTCTTTCTGATCTTTTCTTTTTTAAAAGGGCCATGCACATCCTTTCCACAGATCACAGTTTTGCTTCTCAAACCTAGAGTAAAACACATTCAGGTCATCTACCAGTTGATGGTCTTCTACAGCAGGGCGGGATGGTTGTTCAGCTTTTCAGAATAGCTTGTCTTTGCTACTCTGATCTCTGTTGTCAGTGTGATCCTGGCCTGCCTGTACAGGATCCTGTCCCCACTTCTGTATGCCTCCTCTTTGGAATGACAAAGCTGCTTGAGTTTTTCTGTGAACCAGGGCTTGTTGTTGTTGTATGTCCAGAAGGTCTTGGTGGGCACACACATCTTCACAAAAGCTGATGTATGATGTCACAGTGTCAGTGAGTTCTTCCAGGTCTGTAGTTCAGACTTTGCCTGCTTGATCCATCTCTTCACTGTTTTGACCACAGGCTTCACAGCTTTAAGTTTCTGCCTATGTGTTGGTAAAAGATGGACCATGCAGTGATCAGGGAGACTGAGGGCTACGTGGGGGACAGAGCAATAGGCATCTTTTGTGGCAGTGGTCCAGTGTGTTTTTTTTTTTTTTTTTTTTTGTCCCTGGTGGGACAACTGACATGCTGTTTGTATTTGGGCAGTTCGTGGGTGAGATTTGCTCTGGTAAAATACCCAAGAACAATGAGCAGGAGTCAGGATGTTTCATTTCGACTCTAGTTACCTGTTCAGCCAGGTGCTGTAGTGTACTAGTGTGTGCCAGCATTCTTATATACAGTCTGACGAAAATGAATGACAAAAATTCTCTGGGTGAATAAAATGGTTTGTAGTTGGTGAAAAGAGTCTCTTAAGTCCGTGTTGCAAGTTCTTTCTAACACCGTGACATCTTTACACCAATCTTCATTTATGTAGAAGCAGATTCCACCTCCTCTTGTTTCCTGGATAACTCTGCACTTGTATTGTGTTGTCTAGGATGGAGTTGCTGTGAAGTCTAGAGCAGCAGTGTTATTCTGTGCATTGTTATTCTTAGTTTATCCTTTGTTATTCTGTACTTTGCTTTGGTCCTTTTAAAATCCATGACCTCAGCATCAGACTGGTTTGTAGCCTACTAACTTTATCATTAACAGTTATAAGCTTTTTAACTGGGTCCAGCTTGGCCTTTTTAGCTTCTGATTTCTGACTAGCTTGGCCCTGCTGCGACATTAAATACTTCAGCACATTTGCCTATCTCTTTTGTATTTTTGCTCTGTGGCAAACATAATGTTACACTGACTGTGCATCTGACCCATTGTCATCTGCGTGGGCTGGTCACATTGTGATTTAATTAGCCTAACTGCCCTTTTTTTATATGTAATTATTCTAACTGTAGTCTAATATGCTTTGTAAAAGGCTAGTTGTACCAAAGGTGTTAGACATCAGACTTTTTATACATTATTCATACAGTGGGTACGGAAAGTATTCAGACCCCCTTAAATTTTTCACTCTTTGTTATATTGCAGCCATATGCTAAAATCATTTAAGTTCATTTTTTTCCTCATTAATGTACACACAGCACCCCATATTGACAGAAAAACACAGAATTTTTGACATTTTTGCAGATTTATTAAAAAAGAAAAACTGAAATATCACATGGTCATAAGTATTCAGACCCTTTGCTCAGTATTTAGTAGAAGCACCCTTTTGAGCTAATACAGCCATGAGTCTTTTTAGGAATGATGCAACAAGTTTTTCACACCTGCATTTGGGGATCCTCTGCCATTCCTCCTTGCAGATCCTCTCCAGTTCTGTCAGGTTGGATGGTAAACATTGGTTGACATTTTCAGGTCTCTCCAGAGATGCTCAATGGGAAGAGCACAGTGGTCTCCATAATCCTTAAATGGAAGACGTTTGGGATGACCAGAACCCTTCCTAGAGCTGGCCTTCCGGCCAAACTGAGCTATCGGGAGAGAAGAGCCTTGGTGAGAGGGTTACAGAAGAACCCAAAGATGACTGTGGCTGAGCTCCAGAGATGCAGTCGGGAGATGGGAGAAAGTTGTAGAAAGTCAACCATCACTGCAGCCCTCCACCAGTCGGGGCTTTATGGCAGAGTGGCCCGACGGAAGCCTCTCCTCAGTGCAAGACACATGAAAGCCCGCATGGAGTTTGCTAAAAAACACCTGAAGGACTCCAAGATGGTGAGAAATAAGATTCTCTGGTCTGATGAGACCAAGATAGAACTTTTTGGCCTTAATTCTAAGTGGTATGTGTGGAGAAAACCAGGCACTGCTCATCACCTGTCCAATACAGTCCCAACAGTGAAGCATGGTGGTGGCAGCATCATGCTATGGGGGTGTTTTTCAGCTGCAGGGACAGGGCGACTGGTTGCAATTGAGGGAAGGATGAATGCGGCCAAGTACAGGGATATCCTGGACCTTCTCCAGAGTGCTCAGGACCTCAGACTGGGCCGAAGGTTCACCTTCTCTTAATCTCTAACAAACAAAAAAAAAAAACAACCTATTTAGTTGACTGTTTAATTGTCTTTACACCCATGTCTATTCATTACTCTGCTGTCATATTTGTCTCTTTTTGCTGGTAAAATGGTAAATGTTCAAATCCATTTTTAATCTTTCTTCTTTCTTTTACAGTGGAATCAGAACACCAGAATGGCACCAGCAGTGAAGAAAAGCATGGGGAAGAGGAAGAAGAGAGTAAGGAGGAAAGCAGTAATGATGACAGAGATCCAAATGCTACAAAAGACTCTCCCCTCGCTCTCTCCTCCTCCTCCCCAATTCCCTCCAAGCCTTACTCCTGTCGCTGGTGTGAGAAGGGTTTTGCCTATAAGTGTCGAATGCTGGCTCATGTAAAGCGATGCCCCATGTCCGAGGAGTGTGAGCAGCAATGCCCACTGTGCCCTAAGAAGCTGGCCAACCAGCGGGCCCTGCAGCTCCACCGGGCTGAAGCTCACCGCAACAGTGCACATATCAAGAAGAAGGTGACCTGTGACATCTGTGGACGGGCCTTTGCCCACCCATCAGGTGAGAGCTGGAGCACTTTGTTTGGCTACAATACAAATGATAATACCCAGTTAGGTTTTATGTTGAGTTTCATACTATGGCTCATAAACTGTTAGTTCAGGTAGAGTGCTAAAGCTACGCTTGGCATTAGCTGGATGTATTATGGTTTCAGGTGTAGCTGATTCTTATTTTTTTTATTTATTTATTTTTTTTTAAATCAGACTCTGGAAGTGATCAGAAGCATTTTCAGTGGGTGTTACCATTTTTCAGGCAGTCCTTGAGCTCCTGATTATGACATACTGTGACAGCAGCACTTAGTGGCAGTTTGACTAATGATCTGATCCTTGGTCAGTTGAGAAGTAAAGACATCAGGGGACATTTCCTCCAAAACACATCCCATGACTTCAAATTCCAATAGATTAAAGTGGGCTTAGCTTACACTTTTAGGGCTGACAGACTTTGACACACTATAAATGATCTATTAATTAAGAATCTCACAGGCTTAGCCAATTTAAGGCTTCAAACAACCCATAATGCAACTCTCTCTTACTGAAATGTAACATTTAGATGGTGGTCGAAAGATACTATTTTCAAACTGAAAATCTGTTGTTATGAATATGTAGATGTACTTGAATGCAATATTGTCTTCACTTTTTCATATGTAATTTATAAAAAAGTACATATATTTGGGCCAATACAGAAAGGTTGTACATCTCAGCTGTCAAAGTACTTCAGTACCAAGCAATGTCTCATTCTACAAATTGACTTTATATTTGGGTTGTGGTTGTTGCCACAAGATCAACCTGTAAATGTTTTTCAGTTGCAGCAATGAAATGTCATCCTTTTCCTGAGGTGATTATTTACTGTCACATTGGTTTTTAAATAATACATGGAACCTGGAATTTGCAGGTAATTCTGTGAACTCAGCTGTGAAGTTCTACAGACAAATATTTAAGTTAGGCAAGCTTCTAGAGATTCAACTGTCATGTCTTTGCTCGCTCTTATAATTCTTCAGGTATGATTTACCACAAGCGAACTGAGCACTTTGAGGAAAAGCCATTTGCTTGTGAGGAATGTGGCGCAAAGTTCGGTGCCAACTCATCTCTGAAGAATCACATGCGGTTGCATACAGGAGAGAAACCCTACCACTGCAAACACTGTGACATGAGCTTCAGCGTGGCTGCTGCACTTGCATATCACACCAAGAAGAAGCACTCTGAGGGTAAGATGCACACAAATGAAGAAAAGAAAGAGAAGCCCTTTGGAGATCTGTTTTTAGTTTGTAATAACAATTAACTTTTGATCAGTTTGCTGATTAGATTATTAGATAATCAGCATTGGCTGACATCCGTACTCATGAGGTCCATTAATAATAAATGTCTGCGGACACACCTACATGCAGACTTGTCTTGTCAGTGCTTTTTTTTGTCTGATGATACTACACTACATATGCTGGCTTTCGGCCATTGAAAAACCCATATCTGTCGACCACTAATCATATCAATGCGATGTTATTCCACTAAAAATCAATTATCACTTTTAACAAAATTTAGATTTTAAATCAGACCATAAATGTACTTAATTTAAAAGAATTACATTTTAAAATCTAGTTTAGTTTTTGCAGCTTGAGATGGCCTGAAAATGTTATTCTGAAAGTTCTTGCCCTCAAAAAAAACTAAGCTTTCTCAGTGGACTTTGCATGTCCATTTAGTCCAGTTTGTACAGATTTAGTTTGTCTTTTCTGTGTTTAGGGAAGATGTATGTGTGCCAGTACTGCAAGGCTGTTTTCGCCCAGTCCATTGAACTGACACGTCATGTGCGAACACACACTGGTGATCGACCTTATGTCTGTCGGGAATGTGGCAAAGGCTACAGCCAGGCCAGTGGACTCACTGTCCACCTGCACACCTTTCATAGTAAGTACACACCAGGAAGGCTTTCTGCATTTGAAGGCAAATATTAGAATATGAATATGACTGGCCATTACATTGTGTACCTTCTCAGACATGTCAGAGCCCCATGACTGTCAGAAGTGCTGCCTCAGCTTCTCCTCGCTGGAGGAGCATCAGCAGCACATCCAGGAGGTCCACCCAAAGGAGTTTCACAAGTGTCCCATCTGCAGCAAGGTGTTCACCAGCGCCGCCCTCCTGGACAAACACAAGGGCACACACACTGGAACCAAGCCCTTCAGCTGTGACATCTGCAACAAGTCTTACCAGGTAGGACAAGCTCATCTGGCGTCACAGCTCTGAAGTGATACTCAGCTGGAGGTTCTTCAGTATTCTGATATGGACGTAGTTCGATCTGAATGCTGAGATGGTGTTGAGGTTCACAGCTATAATCATCAGGATTAGATGAAAAGTATGATATAGTGTATAATTCCTCTCCTGTATATGTCTGTTTTTTGCCATAGCAACTGTCAGGCCTGTGGTATCATAACAGGATCAACCACCCTGATGTGTTTGCTAACCACACCCGGCAGCTCAAGACCCTGGTCCAGTGTGATGTGTGTTTCAAGTTCTTTCCCAGCATTGCCAGTGTGGCCAAACACCAAGCTGCTGAGCACCAAGGTGATGACAGTACATTCCTGGACATAAGGTTTAACACAGGTTCACATTATACAGTAAGGCAGACAGGAGAAATCGTTTGCTATATTGTACCTTCAAGGGAATCTAATATAGATTTAATTGGTTAAATACTGAGCCAAGCTACTGCACCGAGCAGCAGGTGTGCTGGTATGTCAAGCAGAATTTAGACACTGACCAAACAGCTTCAGAAATGCAGCTTTGTTTAAGTCCAGAATTCAGACGTGGCATGCACCTCTAAACCTGCATTAGATGCTGCAAAGATCAAGATTTCAGTGTGGTTTTCCGTGATTTACTGTTTTTTCTGGTCCTGTGTGCGTATGCACTCCAGGCTCAGCAGCATCAGCAGTGCACTGTATGTACTGCCCAGCTGTGTTGGGCGGAGAGGAGGAGATGCAGGAACACATCAACAGCCAGCACATCAGCCAGAGCAATGAGGCATTCAGCTGCCCGCTCTGCTCCCTGGTCTGCACCGCCCAGGTTGAGCTGCAGGAACACCTGCTCTCTTGCCATGTGGAGACACAGGAGGAGCAAGAGCAGGCCTCCGTCTCCCACACAGTAAGGAGCTGCTTTGCTGCCACACTTAAGTCACATGGTAAATATAGTACATACAACATCCAACAAGCCTGTTACCTCAGCCTCCTGCTCCTTCATACTGAAAAGTAGTGTTCACTTCAGCTTGTATAGGGGAATTAGCAGAGGTGGAATGATAATCAGATGAACTGAAAATTAGTCAATTATTAATGTATCAGTTGAATCATTTATCAATGACATTTGCTACCTGTATTTGTACTTGACACTAAACCTAGCTCTATAGTTTACCTTACAGCTAAAACATATTTTACTTTTTTAAGTACTGAAAAATTGCATAGCCTACCCACACACTGTGCTAGTATTCAACATTTTAATATTTATATGATGTAGATATTAGATATATTTTATGGATTTTGCTTCTTGTGACAAATTCAACCCTTTTCATCTTGATTAGTTAAAAAAATAAATAGTAACAATTCCTGAATTCTCCCATCACCTACAAGTAAAAATGGATCCTGCACATCCAAAGTGAACCTTTTTGTCTGTGGTTGCTGACAGTTTAGTATTGGACTTAGTTTAAAATATGACCTTGAAGATAGATTGTCAAATTGCCAAATTAGTGGAAGTTTCCACCAACAGAGCAGTGCAGTTGTACCTTTTCCAATAAATGAAAATGTTTAATAAAGGACTTCTCTGTCCAATCAGGTCATCTCAGCAGCTCCAGCGGATGATGAAAGGGCGGAGTCAGTCATCTTCGAGGAGCATGCACAACTGGCAGCTGCCCAGCAGGTGCTGGTGGCTCTGACAGGTGAAAGAGAGGGTGGATCATCAGCCGAAGTGGTGGAGGTCAACATGTATGACCTGCTGAATAGCTCAGTCACCTTCATCTGTGAGGACAAACCTCAGGTCATGACTCTTAGCCATGAAGCCCTGGAGGATCAGGCTGGACACTGAGTGTATTTATGCTTTTGTCTCCTCTGATCATCAACACAACTAATTCACAAGCTAAGGACTCTTTGTGTTGTATGTTCACATTTCACCCAAGTCTTTCTTGGATAGAATTGTTTTGTTCTTTTAAATTAATATGATCAAAGCTTATATACAGTCAGAAACTCTGGTTGGCTTATAAGGGTCATCCCCAGAAGAGAATAGAAAGTCAAATGCCATACAGAGAAGCAGATTCAGAGAGTTAGTATTAGACTGTGGGGGAAAAAATCACTGCTAGCTTTTTGTTGCGCTTTCAACCAAAACAGAGCAAACTCCTTTCACTGATGAAGATCAAGATCTGGTTGTGTTGTTGTTTTGTGTAACTTATCACTTACACTTACATCTTCTACTAAAGATGTAAAACTTTAAAGTCCCCATGTCGTGCTCATTTTGCTAATTTCCAGCCATTTATTGTTTAATCTCAGGTACCCCTACCTGCATGGCACCCATCATAACTCCAAATAGTCTGTAATTATTTCAGAATGATAAAACCAAAGGGCCTCATCCCAAAAATGAGAGGAGAGTTCATAACTGTGCACAACTCCTGCTGCTGGTGTTGTGTCAAAAGTGAACAGCACAATGAACCGTGATGGCATTAATTAATTTGAATTTCTCCTCCATCGATAGGTAAACAACGGTATACTGTAAGAGATTTGTAACACTCTAAACAAAGCATGTAATTGAGAAACCCCATATTTTAACTGGCATAATGCAGACATAGGAACTTCTCCAGCCTTACAACAATTCTCTCAAACCTTATAGAAACGCCACATTAACAGACATGCAACATGTGTTTTTTTTTTTATTTACCCTTAAGTCCTACCCAGTAGTGGAAACATCACTCCCTTTCAAGTAGCTCCAAGGTCGGTAAATCCAACCGGTGGTCACTGCGTCTTCCCCCACATGACCACATACATTCCCAAAGTAGTGAAATTAATTCCAACAGGTAGCATAGCACCAACAATAACATTATGGATTGTTAATTCGCTTCTTTACCAATAACACATCACATGTGGTGACACACTGGCCTCAAGCAGTCAGAACAAACAGGTGGGGGAATCCATTGATGAGCTGATCATTCACCCTCACTGGGGCTTCACTGGCCGGCTGCTTGTAGGTTAAACCCAGTCAGGTAAAACAGCGAGTCCCTGTACAGCATATGTGACGAACTCCAGGCCCACATTATGTGGCCCTTGAAAGCTTAAAATGGGTAGGGTCTTCATAAAATAAAAGTCTATAAGAAAGTCACTTTCAGCTTTTTCCCCATTTAGGGGTCGCCACAGCGAATTGTCACACTGATATTTGGCACGTTGACATTTGGCACGTGTTTTACGCCGGATGCCCTTCCTGACACAAACCTGACTCAAACCCAGGCCGCACTGGCAAGAGCGCTGCGCCTTAATCACTAGCCTACCAGCGACGGCTCATAAAATAAAAGTATATACTAATTAAAAACGTACACTGACCATAAACTGCATCTCCCACAGTGCACGTCGATTTCGGGACCCACAAAGTTTTGACATCCCGCCACAAGATGGCAGTGTTTAGCCTTCAGCATCTAACCAGCAACTTCCCGACAAGTGGAAATGAGAAATACCAACAATTAATCCCAAAATGTCCAAGAAGAGAACGGCCGAAGCAGAAGGAAGGCAATTTAACGAAAGGTGGGAAAGCGAATATATGTTTCTGCTTCAAGGAGAAAACCCATGGGTCATGAGGCAGTGTTGTGGTGTACTACAAAATGCTTTGGCATTTTGCGACCAAACACAGAGCTAAGTATGCTAAATTTAGCCTCCAAGAAAAGAAACAATTTGTCAAAGAATTGAAAGGCAGACTGCAGTTGCAGCAGGAAATGTAGAAAAGAGCTACAGCAAAAATTATGCTGGCTTGATATTATTGTTGAGGAAAATATGTTGAATTGAATTTTTCTAATTTATTTTATTAAGGAAAAAGTTCTTGCAGTCTGTTCAAGTTCATATTTCTGGTTAAATTATTGTCAATTTTAGACTGTTCAATAAATGTTAATCCTGTTTGGCCCGCAGCTGTGACTGTGACTAAATTTGCAGCCCTTGTGTGATTTGAGTTTGACACCCCTGCTGTATGTCTGTGCAGATTCTCAGTCATCCAGGTCATAGTAAGCTGAAAAAAAAAAAACATTGAAAAAAAACAACTGGACTACATTTCTAGGTCGAAGACATTTTACCTCTCATCCAAGAGGCTTCATCAGTTCTGCCTGACTGGTGTTGAGCCGGAAATATTTATCCCCCTCGGTGGTGTTTCAGTCCTTTGACGGGCTAACAATGTCCCCTAACGACTGAGTCGTTATAGCCCAGTATCGGTGAGAGTCATTACCTGTCTTTGAATCCTCCCCCTGCAGACCGACCAGGACAATAGGCGTCAGTCCACAGGGGTGGTCGGTCCTCCTGGCCAAAGGAGGAGATAGAGGCCACTGACATCGAGACAAGGAAGCTCCTTACAATGCATGGAGGGTTTCATCCCAAATCCACCATCCTGACTGTACACTAAGTGGAAGAAAGGAGGCCAAGGATTAGTGAACATCAGAGCCACTATCCAGGATGAAACAACAAAGATCCATTAATACATCAGGAAGATGGCCCCGAGTGAAGACGTGCTTAGTGAAAACCTCAGGCAGCAGAAACCAGAGGAACAAGGGAAGGAAGAGCAGGAACCCTCATGGAAGGACAAACCTCTGCGCGGTATGTACCACCATCAAATAGAAGAAGTGGCTGATATTGAAAAATCTTACCAGTGACTGGACAAAGCTGGACTGAAAGACAGCACAGAGGCACTAATCCTGGCAGCACAGGAGCAGGCTCCAAGTACAAGATCAACAGAGGCAGGGGTCTACCATACCAGACAGGACCCCAGCTGCAGGCTGTGCAAAGATGCCCTTGAGACAATCCAGCACATAACAGCGGGGTGCAAGATACTAGCAGGCAGGGCATACATGGAACGCCATAACCAAGTGGCTGGCATAGTGTACAGAAACATCAGTGCCGAGTACAGGCTGGAAGTCCCAAAGTCAAAATGGGATGCGCCTCCAAAGGTGGTTGAGAATGACCAAGCTAAGATCCTGTGGGACTTCCAGATACAAAC